TCTGGATGTGTGGAAATCTTTCATTTTATGGTCTTTGGAAGCAGAGCATGTCTGCGTAGAATATGGCTCCCTTGCGTATCAAATTTTTATGGTCTTGGTTTGATTGATCTTGACTAAACGCTAACATTCTTGTTTTTGCCCATTAAAGCCCTGTTTTATTTATGCTCACGCATCAGAGGAAGTGCAGTGGAAAGAGCACATATTGGATTCATTATATACTCGCTGTATGATCATGGACAATTATATAACTGTGGAACTTCCTTTTCTTAACCTGTGAAGTGGGGGAGAATGAAACCTATTCCTCTGTCTAGTTATAAGGATTGAATGGGATGAAAGATATTTTTAAAAATGCCTGCTATAGTGCTTAGCTCAACAAACTGCTAGGTTCACTAGTTACCAAGTGAGCAAGGCTGTGGGAGAAGATGAGGCCTTCTGCTCCTGTAAAGATTCTCAGCCTTGGGACCCTAAGGCGCAATTCTACCCTGCCCTTGCAGGATCATATGAGTTGGCATCAACTTGACGATTAGTGAGTTTGACTTGGTTTTTAAATGAAACATTGTTATATTTAGGTACTATTTCTTTTCTTTTAAAATAGTTGCTCAGTTTCCTAGAAAATCTCAATTTGCCACACACTTGGTAACCCTGACCTTTATACTTTGAATTACGTATGTCACAGGAATTCCTAGATAAAATGTGGAGAGAAATGCATTACTTCTTTATGGTAGTGTCTAATGCTTTTGTGTTTAACTTGTACAGAGATAGAATCTTTTACGTTATTAAGAAGGAGCAAGGATAGAGTTCTGTCCTAGCTAGATAAGTGAATGGTGGAGTAAGGAATGCCGTTCTAGATGGAAATTAAAAAGCAAGTATTAAGACCCCTGAAAAAATTTCTCACAGCAGTACTTTTTCTGAAATAATCCCATCTTTTTCTCAGTGACTGTGCAGATTGTGGCAATTTATTAGCTGATGTTGGAGCAGTGTATTAATAGAAAAACAAATACACAGAAGGTCAGCAGTCTGTATATTCTGGGAACATTCTTTTAGGTTCTGATTTGTAGTGTAATGCTTTTATTTTAGGGAAATAAATTACTTGAGCTCTCTTTATCCAAGTGCAGTGTTTAAGCATCATGTTTATTCACCGTGTAGCTAAGGCTCCTGAGTGGCACAGTAAAATCTGCCTAGAGTAAAGAGTGTGGACAGCATGAAGTAAAACATTGGATATTACTTCTTAAAGAATGTATTTGAACAATTTCTTTGGTATATAATTCAGAAACTGTACAATTCAATAGTTCAATAATATTAAGAGTTGTACAAGAACATTACTTTTGATGAGAGTTAATATTAAAAAAACATTTCAGAGGTGTTATTTTTTTTGCTGGTCAAATTGAGATAGAGTTTTTATTGAGAGAATTTATAGATCTTGAGATATACCGATTAAATGTCAAGCGTAAAGAGTTTTGATATGTAATTTTTAAATTTTATTTTATTTTTATGAGATATTTCATTTATTTATTTATTTTTAATCGTTTTATTAGGGGCTCATACAACTCTTATCATAATCCATACATACATCAGTTGTGTAAAGCACATTTGTACATTCATTGCCCCCATCATTCTCAAAAGGTATGTAATTGTTTGTGTAACCATTGCACTAATAGAAAATTCTCATCACCCAAGAATATTCCTTCTTCCTTTGCAGTTAGTCTCATTTCTATCCTGTAACCTACTCTAGAACCTCATTTTAAATCAAACCACCCAGTGCATATGCCTTGATGTGTCATCTTTCAACATGTTTTTGAAATTAATATTTGTATGTATCAGTAGTTAATTCATTTTCATTACTAAATAGCTTTTCATTGTACAAATATTCCATGATTTGTTTATCCATTAACCTGCTGAGGGATTTTTGTTTGTATCCAACCTTTGTGATATTAAAAATAAAATTGTTATGAATATTTTTAATATAGGTTTGGATGTATTCATTTTTTCTGGGAGAGAAATGTATGGGCCATATGAATGTGTAATTGTTTTCCAAATTGTTTTATAAATCTATTAAATGATAAATTATTTTATCAGACTCCTATTAGTAATGTGCGAGAACTTTAGTTATTCCACATACTTAACAACACTTGGTTTGATTATTCTTACTTGTAGTCATTCTAGGGGGTGTGCAGTGATTATTTTATTAAGAAAAATTGTGCTTAAATATATATTTTAAGATCTATTTTAGGAAATCGAGGAAAGAACCAGGAGGCAAAGGACATTTATAGAGGTCTAACTACAGAATGTACATATGCAAATATATTTCTATATAACGGTAGGGAAATAGATCTAAGTACATAAACTTTTATGTCAAGTATTAAGACAGCAGATGGACATTGGGGCCCCTGTTCAAGTACTTCCTCATTGCAAGAACACTTTGTTCTAATAACCCGGTATTCTGTGATACTCCCTTTCCTGACACAATTGCTGAAGACAAAAATGGGTGCATAAGCAAATGTGGTGAAGGAAACTGATGGTGCCTGGCTATCAAAAGATAAAGCATCTGGAGTCTTAAGGGCTTGAACAAGTGGCCATCTAGCTGAGAAGCAACCACACCCAAATGGAAGAGGTATACCAACCTGTGTGATCATGATGTGTCAGTGGGATCAGTTATTAGGCATCAAAGACCTAGAGCAAAAAAAACATATCAATGTGAATGAGGGGGAGGGTGGAATGGAGACCCAAAGCCCACAAGGAAGGGATGAGCCAGTCAGGGTGTAGTGTAGCACCATCGAGACATACAAGTTTCCTCTAGTTCTTTAATGCTTCTTCCCCACCACTTTTGTGACCCCAGTTTTACCTTACAAATCCAGCTAGACCAGAGAATGTACAGTGTTAGAGATAAGAGGTGGAAACACAAGGAATCCACAAAGGTGATCAACACAGGGACAGATAAATCCCTCAGGATCAATAATGAGAGTAGTGATACCAGGAGCGTAAGGGGGAGAATGGGGAACCAATCACAATGATCCATATATAACCCTCTCCCAGGAGAATGGACAACGGTAAAGTGGGTAAAGGGTAGTCGGTGTAAGACAAGAAAACTATTTTTTTCGTTTAGTCATCACGAGCACTGTGTTACAGAGCCCAAAGGCATCTCCTTTTGTGAAGTGCAGGCACACTTCCTTTAGTTTAACTTTGCTTTATTTTGCTGTGCCCAAACGGGTTTGTTTTTTCACAAATTGACAGTTTGTGGCAACCGTGTGTAAAGCAAGCCTACTGTAATCATTTTCGTATGTCTCATAGTATTTCAGACCTTTTCATAATGCTATTGCACACTTAATATACTACAAAACTAAACCTACTGCCGTTGAGTTAATTTTGACTCATAGCGACCCTATGTAATGTCCATTCATATAATCTAAATGAAATATTTATAAGCACCAGGAAGCCCAACCCGCCTGCGATTCACATTACTGCAGTGGTCTGGGATGAAACTGCTAATATCTGTGGAGTATTCTTGTATCCAAGTCTTAAATGTCAATTAAAAAATTGTTTTTTTCCAAAAATTTGGGGTTTATTAGGGAATTAACAGGTTACCACAAGTCATTATTAGTAGATAGTAGTAAGGATCCAGTCATTGGCTCCTATCAGTATACCTCCCCCTAACCCGGAGTCAAGTCTTCCTCTAAACCTTAGTGTCTCAGCCACATGGTCCCTTGGCTTCTGCCTCTGTGGGCCAGGAAGTCTACATACTGCTTTGTCTCGTATGGTCTCTTTGCCACGGCCTCTGGTCTCAGCCTGGCTCTTTTGCTCTGTCTTGTAGTCTCCATGCTACAACCTCTGGTGCCTCTGTTCTTAGCTTCCATCACTTCAGACAGCTCTCAAATTTGCTCCGCTAGCTGCTCTTCCAATGGGCTTGGGATTCTCTCTGCTTCTGAGATTGCTCTGAGGGGAACAAAAATGGCTTCAGTGGAGGCGTGGCTATTGTCTTTCAGCAAATCATGTCCTCAGGGAAATAAAGTTGGTCAATTTTAACATTTGGTTATGGCCCTTTGCCAATAATTTACAACTCCTTTGTCAGATATATTGATAACGTTTTCATCTCATGTGCTTTTGCTTTTTCATTTTCTTAATCTAACGTATTGATGAACAGGTTTAAATTTTGATTAAGAACAGTTACTCCTTTTTTATATATGCGTCATGGTTTTTGTGTCCTATCTAAAAAAATCTTTGCCTACCATAAAATTACAAAAGTATTTGCCTATATTTTATTCTAGAAGATCTTGGTTTTGTGTTTTAGTTAAGTGATCCATTTCTAATTTTGTGTCATTTTTATACATTTTTTTCAAGAATTCATCAAACAAATGTTACAGCCAGGCATTTTCCAGCACTTGGTATCCATTAGAGAACAAAAAGCTAAAAATCCCTATCTTTGTGAAATGTACATTTTAGAAGTAGCAGACAAAGACCAATACACTAATAAGCAAGTCATTATATAGTATATTAGAAAGTGATAAAGGAAGATGAGGGGAGAGAATACAGTAATTTGCAGTTTGAGGAAAAGGTGGTTAAAAGTAGGCCTCACTGAGAATATTCTACTTAAAGAATGATGTGAAGAGTTCAGGGAGTTAGTCATTTGGCTATCTGGAGGAAGAATATTCTGGGCAGAGAAGACAGTTGGTACAAAGCCTTAAGATGGTAGCATGTCTGTCATGTCCCAGGGACAACTCCCAGTGTACTACAGGAGGATCGTTGATAAGATCATAGTGATATGGGAAGGCCAATTGTTTAGAATCTTAAAGGCCATTGTTAAGACTTGGGAAGTATGCTAGGAAGCCATTTGAAGATTCTTGCTGTCCACATTTTAAAACAGCCTATATGCCTTCCTGATTATCACTGTCTTCGAAGTTATATTGCTGCTTTTTTAGATATATCCCCTTATATCAGCTCTATAGGAATGTAAACATTTTGTTCTGAAAGATATACTTAATAAGATAATGCTTTTCTTATTTTAGAAAGATCCAGATTACCTGAAGTTATGGTTGGACAGTTTTGTTTCTAGCTATGAACAGTTCTTAGATGTTGACTTTGAGAAGCTGCCTACCAGGTATGTACACATATATTCACCTTCTAATTTTGATTGAGCTTGTTCATTTTTGGTAAAAAGGTTTACTTGATGACATATTACAAGGATGACAACTATGTAACACACAATATTGTTGTGTAATCCGGTTCTCATAGTAGACATTGCTAGTTGATGACAGCAGTCTTCCTTACTGATACAAATAGGGCTTTTAGAAGTTTCACTCCTTTGGTGAATTGCTACCAATTAAATGTTATTAGGTGTGCATATTGAAACTTATTTGCTGTTTCTGATCTTAGAAATTATGTTGGAGGAGGCTAAGTATTCAGCTTTTAAAAAATTAGATTTAAAGTTTCACCAAATATATACAACTAAATGTATATATGTATTACACAGGATTTGGGGCACTACTAAGGACTTTGCAGCATGAGAGGTGCCCAAGTCTGTTCTTCAAAAGTCGCTTTAGTAGCATTATGAAGGTTGAATAAGTGAGAGATGAAACAAACTGTTCAATTAAGAGGCATTATAATAATCCGGAGAGAAGTAATTTGAGCTTTAAATCAAGATATTGAATTTAAGATAGGATGTGGTTATACTGAGGATAGATTATTGTTTTGCTAATTATAAAAAAAGTTTCCATGTTTTTAAACTAGATTATTAGTTGTGACAGGTTTATAGAACTTGAAAAGTATTAAATCTTGAGCTCTAAAACCTGAACAATTAACTTGTTTTATTGATTTCTACTAATATGAGTAATCTGAACAATAAAATTTAAGTTTTATTGATTTTTATTAATAAAAGTATTGTAGTTTGTTAGAAGTGCTTTTATTTAATAATTTACATCTCACTTTTAAATGACTGACTTAGGAGTTTTGTAGAATCGGGATTTGGACCTTGGGACGTTTGGAATATTCCAAAACAAAATCTATACTCACTGTCATCAAGTTGATTTTGACTCAGAAGTGGCCCCATAGGACAGGGTAGAACTGCCCTTGTGGGTTTCTGAGGCTGTAAACATTTATTAGCGTAGAAAGCCTCATTTTCCTCGAGGTTTAACTGGTGGTTCAAACTGCTGCCCTTGAAGTTAGCAGTCCAGCAGTCCAACATGTAACCATTGGACCACGAGGGCCCATATTGGAATGAAATATCCTACAATTCCCACGATGGATTTGTTTATCAATGCATTTTAAATGTCTCCTTTCTCCAAAAACGATCTCCAAAAGCTTTTAAGTAGGCATATTATTACTTTATTTAAAATAAGCGAAATAATGCCAAGGGTGTTGCTTTTTTTGTGATTTAGTAAATTTACTTAAAATTCTATTTCGCTTTATTGTCAAAAAGCAGAATCATGAGTTTAGATTTTACTATTAGAAAACCTCCCATTTCAAATCCAAAATACATGAAAGGCATTATAAACAACTAGTCTAGCCACTTTAATGTTAAGAAACTCCCTGATAAGCCTCATTTTTAAGTAAACTGACTTCATAGATTTTACAATTTAGCAGAACTCATTACACCCAGCAGGGATTACTTTTATCAGATTTTAAGTCCTTGAACTTTAAACTGGGTTTATTCCTGTGTTAGATGAAGACAGCAGTTGTCAGTTTTTTATAGGCTCTCAGTAGTCAAACGAAGACTGGGATAGATTTCTGGAGTTTGGGAAATTTCAGTGAACCAACGTAGCGTTTGGATAGTAAAATCCTCGAGGTGGGAAAATGGTTCCAGGTTCTTAAGTGCTCATACATTAGGAACAGTACTTAGAATACCATTTCCGATCAAAAGGGCAGTGTTTACCCAAGGACAGAAGTTCAGAAGGGTTAGGAAAGGAGGAGGAATGAGAACAGGAAACACAGAGAGGAAGTAGGGTAAGTTATGGCACATTGTGGGAATAGCAGTTAATGACATGAAACAAAATGTGTGTGAATTATATAATGGAAAACTGATCTGCTCCATAAACCTCCACTCGATTCACACTAAAAAGGGTACTCTTTTTTGTTGTTTTGAGGATTTTATTTATTTATTTATTTTTAGAAAACATTTTATTAGGGGCTCATACAACTGTTATCGCAATCCATACACACATCAATTGTGTAAAACGCATTTGTACATCCTCAAAATGTTTTCTCTCCACTTAAACCCCTGCTCCCCCCTCCCTCATGAGCCCTTGATAGTTTATAAATTGGTATTTTGTCATATCTTGCAAAGGATACTCTTTAGAAAAGAGACTAATTAGGTTTTATGGATATTTATGTGACTACTAGATGTATTTAAAATGTTCTGTCCATAGTAAATGGAATAGCCTTTAATGTCATCATTATAAACATATTAATATTATTAAGCATATTATTAAGTATACTAATACGAATCCTTACTAATATTATTAGTAACAATAATAATGTTACCGTATAGACTCGTGGATAAGCCAAGTTTTCCAGCACATTTTTAATGCAGGTTTTGTGGTAAAATTAGGTGCCTCGGCTGATATTCAGGTTGGCTTATCCTTGAGTACATGCAGTAATTAGCTATCATGAAGAAGAGACTACTTTCTTGTATAGTCATCATTAAATAAAGGAGCACTTTAGAATAGTTTCCTTCAGATTTTGTTTTTTGGGTTGGTATTTTTCTTAATATTGACAAGGAAACTAACATACAGTGATTTATGAAAGGATTCTCAGGGCTTAGTGGTTGGTAATATGGTATATGTAATGCATATACATTTTGTTTTGTAATGCATATTTTTATAGTTCTTTTATTTCAAGGCATTTTCACATTGGTTTCCTGATTTCACAGCTCTGTAAAATAAGGCAGATGATATTATAGTTTTATACATTTGGAGACATCAGAGGTGAAATATTACAGAGGTAAAACTTGGTACCCTAGTATTCTGACTTTGAATCTAGGTAGAGGTTTTTATTGTGAGACACACACTAGAGTTAGGCACATCTGATGTGACTTTTGTATTTAGAGAGCTGTGCTATCTTATTGCATAAAAACCAGAATCCAGTACTGTTTAAGTTTCAAATAATATTTATGCTTAAACTTGGTTTTCCACATTTACCTCTTTCCTCCTTTCCTTTTTAAAAATGTTATTTTTGGTTGTGATGATTATATATACATATATAATACAGAATTTGTTATTGTAGCCTTTTTTTGTTTGGGAATTTTTTAATTATTAAAATACCATTTTATTGGGGTTCTTAGAACTCATAGAAGTCTATGCATTAATTGTATCAGGCATGTTTGAACATATGTTGCCATCCTCCTTTTTCTGGACAGTTACTTTCTAGTGAGCCCTTGGTATCAGCTCCTCTTTTTACCCTCCCCTCCATGCCCCCTTGATAAATGTTTATTATTTTCATATGTTACATGACTGCTGTATCCCTTCCCCCATGGTTTCTATTGTTCGTCTCCCAGGAGTGATGTGTGTGTGTGTGTGTGTGTGTGTCTATGTGTTGGTCATTATAATCCGTTTCACTTACCTCCCCTTCACTCCCCACCTTCCCCTTACCCTTCTGGTATCGCTGTTCCTATTCCTGTTCCTGGATTCCGTGTGTCGTGAGTTCTTTATCTCTTAACTGTACTTGTATATATGCTCTGGTCTAGCCCACAGTGAAGGCAGCACTGAGGTCATGATAGTGGAGGTGGGGGGTAGGGTGAGGAAGCCTCAAGGAACCAGAGGAATATTGTGTGTTGCATGGGTGCTTTACTGTGCCCTGATTGACTCATCACATCCATGTGACCCCTCTCTGAGGGGTGTCCCATGCCTACAGATGGGCTTTGGGTCTCTGCTGCAAACCCCCTCATTCTCAACAATATTTTGTTTGTTTGTTTGTTATGGGTCGTCTGATGCCTGTTACGCGGCACCTATTTTGTCTTCAGTGATTGTGCCAGGAGGTATTGTAGCCTTTTTTAAGTGTGTACTTATACCTAAGTATAAGTGTACGTACATATGCACATGATTCATTGATTCACATTGCTGTGCTGCCATCACCGCCGTGAATTTCATCACCCCACACAGAGACTCTGGTCCCATTAAACTTGTCCTTCCCTCCGCCTCTCCCAGCTCGTGCTTCCCGCTGATGTCCTTTCTGTGTCTGAATTTGCCTCTTTCATACAAGCGAGCGCTCGTACAGTTATCTGTCCGCTACTCCTGGCATGTTCTTTAGTAAAATAGTTCACAACTACTGAACTAATTATAATTATTTTCTGATTTTTGTTTCTTTTAGAAGAGTGTGTGTATATATGTATGTGGACATTCATACACACAAACGCCCATTGTATTCATATACACAAACACATCGTATTCACAAGTAGAAAGCAGGCTAATTTATATTATAAATATTTTCTCTTTAGGTGACACAAAAATATGGAGTCTCTCTGTTAAGGAAGCCTTCCCCTATATTTAATTCTTCTTCTCTTGTTCTCCTTATATTGTAGGGTAGATGACATGCCTCCTGGAATACCTCTGCTTCCTGATAACATTCTGCAGGTTCTGAGGGTCCAGCTGCTGCAGTGTGTTCAGAAAATGGCAGACGGCTTAGAGGAACAACAACAAGCCTTGTCACTTTTGCTGGTGAAGTTCTTCATTATTCTCTGCAGGTATCTGGTACATAAATATAATGATCTGCTTAAAAATCATTAGGGCCTAAATACTAATTATGAAGGAATTATGTGGTAGTTGCATAATCTGTTGTCAATTTGAGACTATTAAGAGTGAAGGGGTGGAGTTTAGCCTGTCAATCAGGTCGCAGCTTGACCTCATTTGGAGGTGATCAGGAGATAAATAGCTTTCTAGAAGCGAGACACAAGCTCACTCCTTGCAAGACATTCCTGTTGAGAAGACACATGGAGCTAAGCTGATGGAGCCCTGTGGAGACCCACGCCATCACTGTAATGCTCCTACCGCCACTGGGATCCACAAGACTTTCCACTGACTGGTCTGTGATCTTCCTGAATTCGGCATTATTGCATGTGTTGTATGAGTCTGAAGAGGAATTTACAGACTGGTACTGGACAGAATGGGTTAATTTTGGACTTACGGACTTGATCTAAACTGGGCTGAGATGTTTCCTTAATGCACAATTACTCTTTTTATAAATCTCTTTCCTATACACGTGTGTCTGTGAATTTGTTTCTCCAGTCTCCCCAGACTAACACAAAGGGGCGTCTGGAAGTTTGTGGGAAAATTGTGTTATCTTTATTTCCACTTTTTCCCGTGGACTTTTTGAAGACCTCATGTATCTATTGATTTGTTGTTGTTCATATACAGCTTTAAAGAACCAGTGTACCTTTTATAATAGGCTTGTCGCTTGTTAGTGTATTGGAAAGACTTCTTACCTAGTATACCTAGTTATAAAGAGATTCAGCCAAGGTTTAAAAAAACAAACAAAACTTTCACAATGAGAAGTTTTATTTTCTCAGGAACTTATTGCACCAGTATTTCCTGTATGGTCCTCATCTGTAAACGTACTCACAGGTTATACCTGTTCATTACTATTTTTGAAAATGTACTTTCCTAATGTTCCAGTTTATAATTTACCAGATACGGTTGTTCTGTAGATTAGTTTATACAATAGGTCAGTGCTACTTCAAATTTTTTGTGTTAAAGTATCATCTGTGAATCTTGTTAAAAATATAGAGCCTAAGTCTTCCTTATGGAAATTCTGATTGAAAGGGCCTCTGACTCCATGTGAACTCTGCAGAAGAGTGAAAACCATTGGTTTAGGAGAGTCACTTGCCTCTTGGACTGCCCATGTTTTTGGAAGCCATGTTCTAGAGCAGCGGTTCTCAACCTGTGGTTGCGACCCCTTTGGGGGCCGAACGACCCTTTCACAGGGGTCGCCCAATTCATAACAGTAGCAAAATAACAGTTTATGAAGTAACAACGAAAATCATTTTATGGTTGGGGGATTACCACAACATGAGGAACTGTATTAAAGGGTCGCGGCATGAGGAAGGTTGAAAACCACTGTTCTAGACTGTATTTGCTTTTTATATACTTTATAATGAATTTGAAGACCACAAAACCCATTGCTGTTAAGTCAATTCTATCTCATACTGAGTTAAGATTTTTCTATAAGGTTTCCAGGACTGTAGATTTATTTTATTTTATTATTTTAAGATTGTAAATCTTTATGGGCGCAGAAAGGCTCATCCTTTTCCCTCCGTGGCTGGTGGGTTTAAACTGCTGGCATTGTGGTTAGCAGCCTCTGCTTAACCCACAGCACTACCAGGGTTCTAGCACTAGTTGACAAGATGGTTAACATACCTTTTATTTAGTTTTGTCATGTACACTTTTAATACAGTTTTATACATGAAATTTATGTGGCTTGCTTCATTGGATCGTGTTGTTGACACTGAACCTGCAGTGTCTCCAGGGTGTGCCTTTGTAGTCATAGATACATGTAGATGTACTCCTATCTCTAAAGACTTGACATTTACATTTCATATAAATGGGATCATATAATTGCTGATTTTTTGTGTCTTGCTGGCTTGTGGTGCAGTGTTTTAAAAGTTGACCTTTGTTGTAACGTGTAATAGTTCTTTATTTTTTTAGCTTGAGTAATATTTCATTAAAGCATCCTTGGTGGCTTAGTGGGCTATGTGTAGGACTAATAACAGCAAGATTAGCAGTTTGTTGCTGGACTGCCAGCCATAAATACAGCAGTTCGAACCCACCAGCTGCTGTGATGGAGAAAGTTGAGGCTGTCTGCTCCTGGAATAATTTATACTCTGTAAAAACCCAAAGGGGCAGTTTTCCTCTGTCCTATAGGGTCAGGGCGCTGTAAGTGGGAACCAGCTCAGTGGCAGTGGATTTGTTTTTGGTGGACTATTCCATTGAATAGACATGTAACTTTTGGGTTGTTTCCCTTAAAAAAACAAACTATGATGAGTAAGTAATATGGCTGTGAACATTTAGATGTACAGTACCGTATATACTCGTGTATAAGCTGAGTTTTTCAGCAAATTTTTTATGCAGTTTTTGTGGTAAAAGTAGGTGCCTTGGCTGATAATCGTGTCGGCTTAAACTCGAGTATATATAGTAAGTTTACCTGCAGGCATATCTTCTTGATGCACTGGGAAACCACAGTTCATTAAGTAATTTTTTCATTTGTCCGCAGTGGATCAACCTACCTATTACTGTTATGAGGTTTAAATGAGAATACTCAGGAATAACCAACATAAGACCTGACCTATGGGAGGCATTCAATAGCTTCTTCTCTTTTTTGCTTTAGATGGTACTTGATCAGACAAACAGAAATAAAAATTGGTATATATGGTGGACAAATTATTCCCCAAAATATCTTTTGTGATTCATGCACATCTTAGAGGAGAAAACTCAGTTTGCTTTTTTCCTAGACTTAACTGTTCCATACTATGAAATCATCTTTTGTCATTTCCTTGCTGAGGTTTTTATTCTTTTTTTTTTTTTTACAGTTTCACAAATGTCTTTAATCATTCTTACATCCCCAACTCACAAAATTAGCATTTAGAAGGATACATTTAAAAAAAAATCATTTTATTGGGGGCTTGTACAACTCTTACCACCATCCATCCATCCATGTGTGTCAAGTGTCAAGTGCATTTGTACATTTGTTGGCCTCATCATTCTCAGAACATTTGCTTTCTACTTGAGCCCTTGGTATCAGCATCTCACTTTTCCCCTTCCCTTTCTGCTCCCCCTCCCTCATGAACCCTGAGGTTTTTACTCTTGAAAAAAAAATTTTTTTTTCTTGAAAAATTTTCACTATATTTTGTTCAGTTTTTTTTTTGTTCAGTTTTTTTTAATTGTATACCTAGTATTTGACACTTGAAGTGGATAAATTTTTAATGCCCCATTTTCAGCACAGAAGAATTATTTCTGGTTATGATCATGAAATAAAACATCCATTTTATCAATGAACTGAAATTTATGCTTCTTGAGCATAAATTTTATACTTTGCAGATGACAGTGTCATTGCTTTAAATTTTAAACAAGATTCACCTGGTCACTTATGGTGATACGCTTGAAGTACTTGATGGTCAGTGTTTTGTTGTCTTACAGTCTTGGAGCTGGCATTGTTCATACCAAATTTCCAATATGAATGCAGGAACAGCAGAGTATAGTACAAAAGGAATTGGCAACATGAAGAATAGTTGAAGTAAATCCATGCAATTCTAAACCATTACAAATGGAAAATTGAGATTTGTAGCCAAGTGTATCTGGTTATCAAGGACTGATTATGTAACTGGGAGTCCACTGAATTAGCTTCCATATAGAACACAGGATAAATCATAAAAATTTGCTGCTTTGATGATTGTGTTTTAAAAAATAAACAACCGCATCATTTGTTTTAGAACTTAACTACAGGTGGTTTTTCAGGAAGGAATATATTTCACAAACACGGTTTGGAATTGCTGGCACATGTAATAAAAAGCAGATAGACTTTCGTTGTTTTATTACTGTCTTTAAATTTACTACAGGTGAGATACTCTTTATTGCCTTGCACACAGCAAGTTGTACCTGCTGCTTTATCCTTGGTGTGGCCCTGCTGCCTATTAAAATATAGCATGCATGAAACGAACAGTTCATTACAGTACCACAAAGTAATACACTGTGTTGTTACCACAGAGGTCAAGAAATAGGACATTGCTGATACCCCAAGAGGTTACCCCATTTTATCTCCTAATTGCTACCTTCTTCCTACTTTCCCAAAGTAATTGTTGTGTAATCTATTACTATGGATTACTTTTACCTCATTTTAAATTTATAGATTGAGTTGATCCATGTAGTTTTTTTTTTTAATGAAAAGTTTTTTGTTGCTGTTGAGAATGTGCACAGCACAACCAATTCAGTAGCCTCTACAAGGTGTCATTTAATGACATTGATTGCACTCCTCCACTTGTGCGCCACTCTGCCTTGCTCCTTCTGCTTTCACAGGTACCGACGTTCACGGCCCTGGTAAGGTTCCTGTGCTGTTACCAGTTTGATCATAAAAGACCGTAATGCTCAAGGCAGACATTTTTTATTAGTTTATTTAAAATATTGTCTGATTTTCCTAAGAAGACTTTATCAGGGGATAATTTTGGTCTAAAGTTTAAAGATTATCTCAAGTTTATAATTTCGGGGTTCACCCAGCCTCCACGGCTCCAGGAAATCTAAGGTCCATGAGAATTTGAAAGTTTGTATTGCATGTTCCCCTCTTTTGATTAGGATTCTTTTCTGGAATCTCTGATCAAAATGTTCAGTAATGTAATACTCCTTTGGACTGGAACTGAAACCCCTGGTG